CCTCCCCGACCTCCCCCAACCCCATCACGTGCTTACAGGAAGCCAGGGTTTGTGACTCGCCATGCCATTTTTCCTTTGTTTTGATTTTCTAGTGCCGAAGGTTGAAGCAATGGATGAAAGACTGGGTTCCCTCGTGGAGGAGTTTAAGGAGCTTGTCTACCCACCAGATTACAACCCTGAGGGGAAAGTTTCCAAGCGAAAACAAGGTGAGAGCTGGGCGTGGACATCCTGTGGGTTATTTCCAAAAGTTGTCCTTATGGTCCTACCGCAGAGAATAATGACCCTTCCGAAGTTCCTATGCAAACCTACATATTTACATATACAAAGGCATATTTCAGCATAAGTGGAATAGTATTCACATTGCTTCTAGTTTATTGTGTCACTCAGCTGTATACGTTCAACAGTTATTTTTATCCATATTTACTTATCTACCTCATTTAAAAAAATAAGACAACAGCCCTGGCCGGTGTTTCTAAGTGTTAGAGCGTCAGCCCACATACCAAAGGGTTTCGGGTTCAATTCCCAGTCAAGGGCAAAGCTTAGGTTGCAGGTTCGATCCCTAGCCCACCCAGGGTGCTTGCAGAAGGCAACCAGTTAATGTCTCTCTCACATCAATGTTTCTCTCTCTCTTCCCCCATTCCCACCTTTCCACTCTCTCTAAAAATCAATGAGGGAGCTCAGCCAGCATGGCTCACTGGTTGAACATCGACCTGTGAAACTAGTAGGGCACGGGTTGATTCTTGGTCAGGGAACATGCCGAGGTTGTGGGCTCTATCCCCAGTAGAGGGCATGCAGGAAGCAGCTGGTCAACGATTCTCTCTCATCGATGTTTCTCTCTCTCTATCCCTCTACCTTCTTCTCCCAAATCAATAAAAATATATTTTAAAAAATCAGTAGGGGAAAAATATGAAATAAGTATATAAAAAATAAAAAACAAAAAATAAGGCTATATAGTGCTTCATTAGAAGGATGTGCTAGTTTATTCAGCCAGCCCTTTATTGATGGATATGCTGCCGTGAACATGGACCACCATCATGTACTTGTGTGAGCAGATCTATAGGATAAATTCTTAGCAGTGTAATTGCTGGTTCAGGGTGTAAACATTTCAAGTTTTGAAAAGAATTGCCAGTTTGCCTCTGAAAAGTGATAGCTTATACCCTGTCCAAGAAGGGGGATGGGTGTGTTTCCCTACACTCTCACCAATCCTGGACTTTATATACTATTTTTAATTTTCACAAAAAGTAAGAGGGGAAATTCTATCCAGTTTTGATTTGCAATTCTCCAATTATGATGAAATGTAGTTTTCTTGGCCTTTTTAGGGTAGGTGCGGCAGTGGGCTTTACCCTTTCTGCATCAGAAGCGCCTCTAGTGCCGTGGGAACAGAGCTCTTCACACCTGTGCATGCACTAGTGCTGTACTTGTTTATCTCGCTGAGCCTGCACATGGTCCCGTGGTACTTACTTGGTGCTCTGGAAATGCTTTTGGAAGGAGAGAGGGAGGGAATGAATACCTGCTCATTTAGAGTGAGACCAGTTTCGGGTAAACTGATGGCACTCAGAGTACTCTTAACGCCCTTCTAGGTTGATAGTTTTGATTTTATGCTTAAATGAAGCTGCCTTATCGAGGCACTATCTCCCCAGAGTGTTCTAAGTGGGCATCATGGCTGATGGAAAATGTCTGACTGCAGTCCAGATCATGTGAGGGTCCTATGCGTGTAGTTGGGATGCCACTGCTAGCATTTCCAATCACTCCCTCCCGACCTTTTCCCCCAGATGATGAAGGTGCTGGAAGCAAAAGGCCCAAGATGGAGTTGTCGGAAGAGGAACTGAAGGCCCATGTCAGCAGGGGCACGCTGGGTAAGCTCACTGTGCCCGTGCTGAAGGAAGCCTGCAGGGTGTATGGACTGAGGGGCGGGATGAGGAAGCAGGAGCTGCTGGATGCGCTCACCAAGCACTTCCAGGACTGAGTGACAGACCCTCCAGCCGCCACCCTTCCACCCTGGAGCCAGGCTGCCTGACAAGCCAGAACTTTACATTTATGAGACTTTCTGTTGCTAAGGAGGCAAAGTAGTCCTCCCACTTTGTTGTGCCTTATTCTGACTGAATAGAGCCCTAATTTTGTACTAAATGCTGTTCTTTAGTGTGAAAGAAATGTGTGTCTTGCATCCAAAGATCATTTGCTGTTGGCTATTAGCTTAATTTTCTCACATCACAATGGGAACAAAATGAACACCAGTGAAGGTGGGGACAATGTGATGATTAAGGACAGATGAGCAGATTTCAGGAATGACAAGCCCCAGCAATATCCTGTCCTCTCCTCTTTTCCTTTAATTGTGTCATATTAACCACTAACTTTACATTTATGAGACTTTCTGTTGCTAAGGAGGCAAAGTAGTCCTCCCACTTTTTTGTGCCTTATTCTGACTGAATAGAGCCCTAATTTTGTACTAAATGCTGTTCTTTAGTGTGAAAGAAACATGTGTCTTGCATCCAAAGATCATTTGCTATTGGCTATTAGCTTAATTTTCTCACATCATCACAATGGGAACAAAATGAACACCAGTGAAGGTAGGGACAATGTGATGATTAAGGACAGATGAGCAGATTTCAGGAATGACAAGCCCCAGCAAGATCCTGTCCTCTCCTCTTTTCCTTTAATTGTGTCCTATTAACCAGGCACCTAAGTGCAGAAAACAAATGTAGTAAAGGTTTCCTTAAGTTTTTGAATATGTAACTTCATTTACTTGCGATTCATAATTTTTTTCCTAAACTGCTGTAAAATCAGCAAAAATGCCTTGGCGATTTTAGCATAGTTCCTAGGATATTGGTTGGCACTCAAAGGGTTAAGACCTAAAGGCCAGATTTCAGAAGCAATAAGAATGTAACATTTCTAATACTGTTACCATTTGCTTCCTGAGTAAATAGCACTCCCCCACCTCCCATGTTGCATTCCTTTTAATGTGACATTCAAGTATATGAAGATAGTTTCTGTTGCCCCAAGAATTGGGGTTCCAGTGTAAGTGAAATCAGTTCTCATTTTTCAGGGGAGCTGTAGTAAAGCAAGTTCACAATGAGAGGTCCTAGTATTAGGAGGGGAAGCGGGGAGCTTCTCCCTCCCCTCCCCCACCCCTCCTCCAACCTCCCTGTTTCTTTCCTGCTCTCTCTGCTATTGCTTTTGAAAAATTAGCTTGAGAGAAGGAAGAAAAACATCTGCAAGAATTTGTGTCCTCTGAGGAAGGCTTGAGGTTCAGAGTTTGTAGGGCCTGTGTCTTTCAGGATTAGCATGAGCCTCTCATGAGGAGCGTGTAGGAGGGTCAAATTACTCTTGTGAGAGATTTTCAGTTTTGGGTCCTTTGCTCTGAGCTTTATAACGTCAATTTGGGATTTAAGGTAATGGAAATGTAGTTTAGTACTTAACAATACTACAAATGAATCATCTTTTTCACAAGGTCATCATTGTAAATGTAAAAATATTCCTTAATCATAGGTCCTCTTAAGAAATTGGTTTTAGGAAACTTATTCTAAAATAGAAGTTCCTGACCAGTGTTCATCAGGGCCCCTTGAGACCTAGTGAAAGCCACTGGATTCTCTCTCCAAAATAAAAAACTGTATACGCAAAATTTTCAACCTATTTCCTAGGTGGCTGGATGGAAAGGACAGGTTTCCTTGTTTTCATGTCTAGGCTTTAGGAACTGTTCATTCTACACATTGGAGCACCTGTTAGGGTGCTGCTGCAGGTGCTAAGTTCTGGCTCTACTGAGGGCAATAATCAGAAGACAATCTGATATTAGTTAAGGACAAGTGGAATAGAATGCGACGGTGCTGCAGGAGAGGCAACATGAGGTGGGGTAGCCGGGAAAGGCCCTAAAGAAGTGACATTTGAATGACTAGCATGAGGAGAAAGCCACCCGGGCAGCAAAGGAACACCAAGTACAAAGAATTTGAGAAGGAAACGGGTAGGGGGTGTTTTAGAAACCAAATATGAAGCACTGAGCAAAGATAGAACTCGGTGAAGCAGACACAGGACACGCAGAGGAGACCACGAGGAGCAGGAAAGAGCCACGGTTGTCTCAGGTGATCACTCGTTGACACCTGCCTTTTGAAGGCCTCCAAGGGAGCTGATACAATGGAGTAGACCAGGCACCAGGAAGGAAGATCCCGGGAGCCCCCGCCCCACCCCACTTCTTAGGGCTCTAATGGGTAAGCCTGAGTTTCCATTCAGGTGGAGGTTGGATTTCTTAGTTCCCTCTGCCCCCAAATGATTTCAGTCCTTTAGAGTACTTTAAAGTACAAGAAAGTAAGAACTACCTCAAAATTCACCATCCACAAATAGGAAACTGCTGGGGGCAGTGTGTATATAAACACTGGAGCAGGCTGGGGAGGAGGGGGAGGGAGAGACTGGCCAGCAGGCAAACAGGGTGGTTTCCAGGTTTCCTTCTTACTGGAGTGGGTACACTGGCCCATGCTGGCCATGAGGAAACCAAATATAACCTATTCCCATTCATCTGACCATTACAGGACTGTTATTTGTACTTTGTAAGAAAATGTCTCCAGCTGAGGTAGCAGGCTCTCAGGGTACTTCCCCTTTGATAAAAAAAATAGGTGAGGCAGGTGATATGGCAATGATTTCAGTCACCAATCCCAATCCCCCCTCCCAAGGGCTACCAGGAGCCCTAATTTTGCAACAGTGATTCTCAACTAGGAGTGACACTGCCACCAGGGAACACTTGGCAATGCCTGGAGGGAGGGGTTAAGGTTGCCATTGACATCTGGTGGGTAAAGGCCAGGGATGCTGCTAAAAACCCTGCCACACACAGGCAGCCTCCGTCACAGGATTATCCAGCCCCAAATTCTGAACTACCAGAAATCAGCTGGTAGGTAGTGATGGCTTTTGCACAGCTTCTTGGTGGAAAGTTTGAACAGCTAAAACCGTACTAATAACGCTAAGCAGTTCTTCAAGTATTAGCTGGATACCTACCAAGAATCACACTTTCTCTTTAAGTTGTATGAATATATTTCTTTACTAGGACTCTCACAACAATGATACATTAGCACTGTCCTTCTGACGTGATCAAGAACACATACATCTGACCCACATCGTGGCAGGACAGGAAATGGGTAAAGGCTCTCAGAGCTGATACCAAGTGTCCACTGAAGAAATCTATTCACCAGAAAGGATGTTTCCTTGGACTCCATCACCTCTGTTGTAGCTTCGTCTCCAAGACTTGCCCAGAATCCTTCAGTCCAGCACCAGTTGACTCTACTTTCTCTTGCCACTCCAGACTCCTTTAAGACCTAGGTCAACTGCTCCATGCCGCACTAGCCCAGGCCACTTTTGGAATCCTGCAGCACACATCTCTTTGGTATGCTGCTGTCCTCCACCCTCAGGGGCACAATTGGGAGGTTTTGTTTTTGTTTTTTGGGGGGGGGCGGGGGAAGGACATATATTACCAAAAGCAAACGGTAGGGGTACATTAATAAATGACACTTGGGCATACAACTAACAACCTCACAGGATACATGCTTCTTCCTCAAATGATGCATCATCACCCTAGAGATCAAAGGAACCCCTGGATCATGTATGGGATGATTCTGTATGCCAGGCACAAGGGAGATCAAGTGGGTGGTGTCTACTTCACCATGCCCTGTACACAAAAGGCAGTTAGTGCCTCAAAGCTGGAACCGGATCTCTCTACCCTGGCTCTTTCCTGCCTTTGAATGGTGTCACAACTCTGTTCTACCTGTTCTGGGCTTAGTTCATTTTTCAAAAGGGAGGAAAGATGGTAGAGGAAAAGTGGAAGAGGAGGTTTAGGGGTGGAGTGGGTGTGGGGATGATAATCTATACGACAAAACAAAAATAATTCAAAAATATAAAAAGATTTACTACTACAATATTTTATAACAATAGAAGGTAGCTGGAAATCCTACATGGTAACACGGACAATATGATACACAACCGAGGGGGAGGAGGCAAGAGAGAGCGTGGCAGAGGCCACCGGTTTAGACTAAGAGCCTTTCAATGGACTGCTGAATGGACTGGATCTGCTGCTTCAGCTGGGAGCCTTCTTTGATGGTGACAGAACAGGCGATGACAGGCCTGGAGACCCCGCAGGCCCGCCCCAGCGCCTGCTTGGAGCGCACACACACGTAGGGCACATTCTTGTCTTCACACAGCAGCGGGAGGTGCAGGATGATCTCCAGGGGCTCTGCGTCTGCAGCCATCACAATGAACTCAGAGATGCCTCTGTTAAGGGTTTTGGTGGCTGTGGAGAGAAGGACATGCGGCCAATAGGTGATGGGGGGTTTGGGCAGGGAAGCTACAACAAAGCAATTTCCAAGGAAAAGAAACACATGCAAGAAAACTGGGCAAAACTCTCACACATAAGCAAGTCTCTGCCCTGTAGTGGCCTTGGGAAGGGACAAGGGATTTAAGTGCCAGTTGGTTATCCTCAGTGCCTTCCTCAAACCCATCAGTTCTGTCAGAGCACATCCTGAATCAGCCCACTTCTCTCCTCTCCTCTGTACCACATGTCCAAGTCACCGCCATCTCTTGCCTGGTTGATCGGAACAGCTTTCACACAAGCCCCGCCAGCATGAAGCAGAGTATGCAGCACTTCTCAGACTCTGTGATCTGTGACAGTTTTACCATCTCAACCTGCCACAATCAATACTTCTGACAAGCTCACAGCATCGTTCAAATGCTTATTCCTGATTGTTTATATCTGTGGCCCAGCGCTAGCACACGGACCACACTCTGCATTAATGCTCAAGTACTAAACAAGGGCACAGGCTCTAGAGCAGTGGTTCTCAACCTTCTGGCCCTTTAAATACAGTTCCTCATGTTGTGACCCAACCATAAAATTATTTTCGTTGCTACTTCATAACTGTTATGTTGCTACTGTTATGAATCGTCATGTAAATATCTGATATGCAGGATGGTCTTAGGCGACCCCTGTGAAAGGGTCGTTCGACCGCCAAAGGGGTCGCGACCCACAGGTTGAGAACCACTGCTTTAGTATCTAATGTAAAAATGCTGTTCTTAGGTCCTCACACTGGTCCCAATCAAGAGTACCCGGCCCTCTTTCTGTACTGGAAACCTAGACCAGGGACTCCTGACAGAGTCAGGCGCCTTCAACAGCCCCCCTGGAACACGCTGGCTGCCTTACCCTCATTGGCTCCTTTTCGAAGCTGCTTGTAGTTACATGACTGCTGAACGAGGTCCAATAGTTTCTTGGTGAGGTGGGCATCTGCGAGAGGGTAGGCCTTCGGATTGACATCAGCCTCAGTCTATGGGGGTGAAATCAAAGCATCAGTGAAAATGAACCATAAGCTGTTCCAGACCAGTCACAAAATAATCGACCACTGAGACACAATGGTCAGCTTCCCTGCTTCCTCACCCCCAAACACACTTATAAATGACACTAGAGCCACACTGCCCAGTTATTCTAAGTTAGGAGCACACTCCGAACTTAGAAAAACTGAATTAGGACTTAAACAAAAAGTTAATTACATAATCCAAAAATGTATACTAAAGGTCATATACTTTGAAACTTGCCTCTCTTTAGCTTAATGCTTGGTAATAATCCACAGCAAATGGATTATAAATGGGCTCCCGTGGCTCAGTTTCAATGAATCACATGGGGGTAATCTTTAAATTTAGATTTTTGTACTCCATACTATACTAAGTTTACTGAATCAAAATTAAGGTATAATTGCCCATCCAGTGTGGCTCATTGGGTTAAGCGTCATCCCATGCATACAGAAGTCACTGGTTTGATTCCCAGTCAGGGCACATGCCCAGGTTGAAGGCTCGATCCCCAGTAGGGGGTGTGCAGAAGGCAGCAGATCGATGATTCTCTCATCATTGATGTTTCCATTGCCCTCTCACTTCCTCTCTGAAATCAATAAAAAAAAATTTTAAAAAAGACTTTGATTCTAATACTAGATATTTTAATATTAAGAAATTACTCCCTGCCCTAACCAGTTTGGCTCAGTGGATAGAGCGTCGGCCTGTGGACTGAAGGGTCCCAGGTTCAATTCCGGTCAAGGGCATGTACCTTGGTTTCGGGCACATCCCCAGTAGGGGGTGTGCAGGAGGCAGCTGATCGATGTTTCTGTCTCATCAATGTTTCTAACTCTCTATCCCTCTCCCTTCCTCTCTATAAAAAATCAATAATATATATATGAATTACTCCATTCCTCCCATCTCATTCCCACATGACCAGTTTAACCATTTTCATTAATTTCTCATTTGTTTTCCCTGTGATTCTTTTTATAAATATATTTATATTATATATACAATCCAAATGCAGCCCAACATCACTATCTCACACATCCAGCTGTCTGCCAATGGAAGTTTGGTCCAACCCTGGGTCTGGGGACCGAACCTTGGCAGGCCACATGCAGCACCACCGGTTGTAGGCGGTGACTTGTGGGTGATGGGCAGGTGGGAACACTCACAATTGCATCTGTCTTGGTGATCTTTTGAGACTGAAATGACCCACCCCTGGAAGGAGCAGGAAGTGATATTAAGGGCCAGATTTTACCAAGACACCTAGTCCTTAACACAGTGGTTCTCAACCTTCCTAATGCCGCGACCCTTTAATACAGTTCCTCATGCTGTGGTGACCCCCAACCATAAAATTATTTTCGTTGCTACGTCATAACTGTAATTTTGCTACTGTTATGAATCGTAATGTAAATATCTGATATGCCGGATGTATTTAGGCAACCCCTGTGAAAGGGTCGTTCGACCCCCAAAGGCTTAACACATGATCCCTGGGTGATGAGCAATTAAATTAGGTGAGGGCTGAAAGAGTTACCTGAAGTAGTGGGTAAGAAAGACTTTATTATCTGTCTGCTCTTCTCCATACATTTTAGAATTAGCTTTTCAAGGTCCACAAAAAAGCCTGTTGGGACAATGTCTGATTTGTAGATTTGATATAATAATCCCAGTAAAACAACTTTAGGATGCAGAATCTGTCAATCCCATTCATATTAGTGCCTTTAAGTAAAGTTTTATTATTCTCCAAAAGCCTTATTATCTTTTATACTTATTCCTAGATACTTCAAATTAAGAAAATTCACTGTATTTCTTAGTGTGCTAAGAGTTTTTCCTTTAATAAATAAATTGGTGTTGAATTCTATCAGATTTTCTGTACTGACTCAGGTGAATAAGATTTTTCTTCTTTAATCTTTACAGTTTTTCTAATGTTAAACCAATTTTGCATTCTTGAGATAAAACAACTTAAGATTTTATTTTAGATCTACTAGCTAATGAACATAGTTTCTTTGAGGGATAATAAAAATGCTCTAAAATTCAATAAATCGATGGTCACACAACTCTGTAAATATATGAACCCACTGAATTATATACACTTTAATGAAGTTAACTTTATGGCATGTAAATTATCTCAATAAAGCTATTTAATAAACTAGGTCTAGAGATTCTTCAAGTTAAAAAAATTTTATGTTAGGCCCTGGCCAGGTAGCTCAGTTGATTATTGAGTGTTATCTCCATACACCAAGATTGCAGTTTCAATCTCCAGTTAGGGCACATACAAGAATCAACTAATGTATATATAGATAAGTGGAACAAATTGATGTCTCTCTCTTTCCCTTCCTCCTCTCTAAAATCAATAAATAAAAATATTTTGACTTCAGAGAGGAAGGGTGAGGGAGATAGAAACATCAAAGATGACAATCATTAATCTGCTGCCTCCTGCACACCCCACACTGGGGAATGAGCCTACAACCCGGGCATGTGCCCTGACCGGGAATCAAACCATGACCTCCTGGTTCAAAGATCTGTGCTCAACCACTGAGCCACGCTGGCCAGGCTTGTTCTTTACCTACTTTCTTAGTTCTTTTTTCCCCCACATAAGCATTTTAAAAAAATTATTGGTTTTTAAAGAAAGGTTGTTCTTTACCTACTTTCTTAGTTCTTTTTTCCCCCAAAATAAGCATTTTTAAAAAATTATTGGTTTTTAAAGAAAGGGAGAGGGAAGCATCGATTTGTTGTTCCACTCATTTATGAATTCATTGGTTGATTCTGGTGAACAGAGATGACACTCTAACCAACGGAGCTACCCGGCCAGGGCTATATATTCTTTCCAAACACTTTGTTATTGATTCCTAATTTATTTGTGTTTTCGTTGGGAGAATATGGTCTGTATTATCATCAATCTTTCAAAATTTGTTGAACTTGTTTTATGATCTAGGAAGCAGCCAATCTTCATAAATGTTCCGTGCTTCAAAAGTGCCTTTTATACTTGTCAGGTGCAATATTTACTACATTCACAATGATCACTAAATCAAGTTTACTTATAGTCTTGTTAAAAATCCTCTATTTCCATACTGACATTTTCACTTCATAATCTAACAATTATACACTTAACTGCTAAATGATTGCATATTTGTCTATTTCTTCTTGCAATATTTTCACATTTGTCTTGTATTTTTTGGCCACTATCTTTACAGATCATTTCTTTCTGATGTTCATATAGGCTACAGTACACTCTTTATTTTTTTATAATCTTTTTTTTTTGGAAATTTATCTTTATTGTTGAAAGTATTACAGATGTTCCCTTTATTCACCCTATTTTTTAAAATATATTTTATTGATTTTTTACAGAGAGGAAGGGAGAGGGATAGAGTCAGAAACATCGGTGAGAGAGAAACATCGAGAGAGAAAAGAAACATCAATCAGCTGCTTCCTGCACACCCCCCACTGGGGATGTGCCCGCAACCAAGGTACATGCCCTTGACCGGAATCGAACCTGGGACCTTTCAGCCCGCAGGCTGATGCTCTATCCACTGAGCTAAACCGGTTACGGCTACAGTACACTTTTTAAATTGGCATATCTTTTCCATTCTTTTACTTCAATCTGTCCTTCAACTGGAGCATTTAGTCTGTTTTTATATTTACTTTTATATTTAATTATTGACTGTGTAAATTAAGTAAACACTGAATTCAAATCTTCCTTCTTTTTGTGCCTCAGATCAGTCCCATATGTTTATTTTTTCTTTCTTTTCTTCCTTTAGGTTAATTATTATTTTTTCTCTACTATTTTCCCCTCTACTAGTTTGGAGTGGTATATCTTTTTTCTTTTGGTGCCTACCTGAGAAAGGGTATTTGTCAAAATCTAATTCTCAACAACAATCATCATCTCCTAAACAATAAAGGACCCAACACTTGAATTCCAATCACTCCTCAAAGTTACTTTTTAAAATGTCAGGTATTTCCATTGTTATTTCCAACAACCCATCTCTGGAAGTAAGTGTTCTCAACTCTCAACAAACATCAAGTGCAAAAAAGGGGAGCCTGACCGCCCATCCAAGAGGAATCATCTTATCTGTCAACAATAACAGAAGGTCAGCTCACCTTTAAAACCACACTACCGATGTTAGAAAAAGCAACAGCAATTTCTTAGTGTACTTATACATTCTTCCAAAAAAATGTTTAATCCTCACCGGAGCACATGCTTAGGGAGAGGCAAGGGGGTCGCGGGTGGCGGGGGTAGAAACATGGATGGGTTGCTTTCTGCACCGACAGGGGATCGAACCCGAAACCTTTTGGTGCACAGGACGACGCTCAACCAACTGAGCCACTCAGGCCGGGCCCCATCTTTTCATTTCTTAAAGGGTTAACTAAATGAATGAGATCACTAGCTAGCTTTAACCCTAGCTCCACCAGTTTGGCCTCCTGTACACCAGACAGCCCCAAACTGGAACCGCACGAGGGGCTACCAGGACCTGACTTCGGAGATCACAGCTTCGCAGGAGCCTTTATTTACTGCACCCCCAGCCGGGGCTCGGGGATCCTCCACATTCCCCGCCCCGAACGTCAAAGGCTCCCTAGGTCCCGGCACGTGTGACTCGCGGCGAGCACTCGGCGCAGATCCTCAGCCCCGGAACATCAGCCCCGGGAAGTGGGGTGGGGGAGGCGGATCCGAATCCAGGGAGTCCGCACCATCCTCTAGAGACCCCTACTCCCCCAAACAGGAAAGATGGAGCCAAGTTTTCTCACCCAACTTTCTCTTCTCTCCCACGTGGGCTGGTCTCTTTCTCCCAGGTCGGACCATGCCCTCCCCGCTCACCAGAGGCCGTCGGCAGCGCGCACAGACGGCTGCACCCCCGATCGCAACGGCTGGGACCCTAAGGCTTTCGGGGCTCTGACCTCCGGCGGGGCTGCTGGGACCGCACGGCCGCCC